CAGTCCTGCCAGAGGCCAAGAGAGCTCCTCAGTGTTTTGAAGTGCCCTGCGGGACCCCCATCAGGGGCTAGGTGTTCCTCCCACAATCCTCAAGTGCACAGGTATTAGCATAAGGTATTAGTATATGCTAATACCTGTGCGTTAGAGGATTGTGGGAGGAACACCTAGCCCCTGATGGGGGTCCCGCAGGGCACTTCAAAACACTGAGGAGCTCTCTTGGCCTCTGGCAGGACTGAGGCTGTGCAGCCCTGTACTGAGTGGAAGGTGTAGCCAGGGGATCACCATGACTTGGGGGAGTCAGGGGACAGAAGGGGGTTTGACTCCTTTTACCTTCTTTCTTTGTTGCTGGAGAGAGAAAGAGGGGGAAGGCTATCTGAGACCCAGTGAATTTCCAAAGGCAGTGCAGGTGAGGGGATTGCTTTTCCCCAATATGGTATGGGGAACTGTGTTTTGCAAGACGATGTTTTCTATGGACAATTTTCACAAGACAGTGATTTTTTTGTCAGTTGGGAGAAATGCTTGAGCTTGTTTGGAGTCTATGATATCTCCTATATAATGGATTAGTCTTGTAGGAATTAAAGTGGACTTTTGCAGATTCACTGTGAGGCTGAGATCTTGGAGGAGAGACAAAGTGAAGCGGATATCATGCTTGTGCCTTGTAGCGAGAGTCAGCTACAGGGAGCCAGTCATCGATGTATGGGAAGATATGAATTTTGTGGAGCCTGAGGTATGTTGCCATGCATTTGCTGAATACTTAGAGAGTCTTTGAGTCCAAATGGGAGTCTTTTGAACTGGTAGGCTTGAGCTCTGAGTTGGAAACGCAGGTAAAGCCTGTGAGATGGGTGGATGGAGATATGGAAGTAGGCATCTCTTAAGTCTATAACTGCAAATCTTTTTTGCGGAGTAATGAAAGAACAGACTCGAGGGTGACCATGTGAAATTTGGTGGTAGTGATGTATTGGCTTACTTCTCTGAGATCAAGGATTGGGAGGAGGTCTCTTTTGGTACGGTGAAATAACGAGAGAGAAAACCTTTAGCTGTAAGGTGTAGTGGTACTAGTTCTATGGTGTCTTTGAGTAATGACTATTTTGTCTTGTAGGATTCGTGACAGAAGTGTGGTGGTGTGTGATGGCGGAGTACCTGTACTCTATGATGGAAAGGACCCAGGCATTTGTGGTGATGTCATTCCATGCAGGTGTTTCCAGAGGGCAGGGGGAGGTGGAGGGTGAGAGGTTGTGTTAAGATCTCAGCCGACTGGATGTCAAACCTGATGTTTGGGTTTGCAGTTATGGTGCCTGGCTGTGGTTTGTTGCTGGGCTTTGGTTCGGTAAGGTTGTTGTCTTTAGTAAGGTGCATTGGTTGTTTCCCTCTGAGGTTCTTGCTGAAACCTCTGATAAGAGGTGTAAGGGTGACACTACTGTATGAATTGAGGACACTGTTGGTATGTGGGGTAAACACCCCAACGCCTGGCAGCTGTTCTCTTTTTCTGGATATTTTTGAGAATGTCATCTGTCTCAGCATTGAAGAGGCCAACTCCACTGAAAGGGAGGTCTTTAATGTGGGCATGGGCATCCTCTGCAAGACCAGCAGATCTAAGCCAGGAGAACCGACAAAGAGCTTCACAGGTAGTCATAGATTCTGATGTGGCATCAACAGTTGCTTAGCTACCCAGAGGCCTCCTTGTTGAAAAATTTAGAACAGAATCCTTTTATCTTCAGGGAGTGCATCAGCAAGCATTGGCAGGCGCCCATAGCTCCTTGATAATTGGCGACTCTCATGGTAAAGGGGGCAAAATAATACAGCCATCTGCCAATGGAGTCAATATACCTACTGTCCTTATTTGATGGTATTAGAATTTGTCAATGTCAAGAGCGGGATTGTGAAGCTTTGGCAAAGATGGAATTAGGAGCAGGTTGTTTCTGCAGAAAGATAGCATCAGGCTCATGAACCCG